ACATTATTGCCCCTGCATTTGGGATTTGGACATTACATGATCATAGTAGAAAGTAATTACATGAGGTAATAATCTTTGGTAAATAGTAATTTCTTCATTTTTATGCAAGATCTGTGGACAGTTTTTACCTTCCACTAGGATTTTTTTTGTCAGCAACCGAGGAGGGCAGTGGCTCATAGGCATATGAGAGGCATAAAATGATCAGAGTATTGATAGACTGTTATCCACAGTTACTGCTTAAACAAAAATGTCATTGCTGTGTCTGGTGGGATGTGACAGGTCTTTATGCTACAGTTGGTAGTATTCTGCTTTAAATTTTAAATCAGTCTTTTAGAAGCTTCTAATTACATGCCCTTTCACTAATATTAATAATATGTTTGTCCTTTTAAGACTAATGAAGAAAATACATCCTGCGAAGAGTAAAAGTACTTGATTCTGGGAAGACTCTTAAAGCACCTCTAACTTCAAAGCTGGAGAAAAGTATGAAGGAACAGTTCATCTGACTCCTTCGGCATCTCACACAAAATGGCTCTTCAGAAAAAAACTCTTGCTGGTGTCTTGGAGGAATGGTGTTTGGAAGAACCACTGTTTGGTTGCAGACGGCACCAGAATGTTTGGAAAAAACTGAGACTGATACGAATCGTTGGGCTTCTTGTTAGTGTAGTGGCCATTAGTACTTTCTCACTTTCAATGAGTGCCTTTTTCAAGATGGAACCACATAGCATGGCACTGGTCAGCAACCTAGATAGCCAAAAGCTGGTGCGTGGGCACCAAAGAACTCTTTTGGATTTCACTGAACAGAATCAAAATGGCACTCTAGACCCACATGCTTCTATGAAATATGAAGCTGGGCATGACAATGAAACAGATGATCATTCAAAGGGAGAGTATCCCACAGACCTTTTCTCTCTTGAGGAGAGAAGACAGGGAGCAGTGATCCTGCATATAATTGGAATGATTTACATGTTTATAGCCTTAGCTATAGTCTGTGATGAGTTCTTTGTTCCTTCCTTGACTGTCATCACTGAAAAACTGGCCATTTCTGATGATGTGGCAGGGGCAACCTTCATGGCTGCTGGTGGGTCAGCCCCAGAACTCTTCACTTCTTTAATAGGAGTGTTTATATCCCACAGCAATGTTGGCATTGGTACAATAGTGGGATCTGCCGTGTTCAATATCCTATTTGTTATTGGAATGTGTGCTTTATTTTCTAAAGAGATCTTGAACCTTACATGGTGGCCACTCTTTCGAGATATGTCCTTTTACATCATTGACTTGATCTTGCTAATCATCTTTTTTCTGGATAACTTCATAATGTGGTGGGAAAGCATAACACTCCTGACAGCATATTTTTTCTATGTGACTTTCATGAAGTTCAATGTTCAAGTAGAAGAATGGGTGAAGAAATTTTTGAACAGGAACAAGGTTGAGAAGGTAACTACAGATGCTGAAGGAAAGGTTGGTCAATTTTTATTGAATTATATGTAATAATGTCCTTGTGAGTGCTGAGCCCTTTGATATCATAAGGATCCTAATATAGTACAGTAACCAATATAGTACAGTAACCAATATAAAATAGTTCCATATTTCACTCAAATGTCTTTTTGTTTAGTCAAAACTGACTGAAAATAAAAAACAAGAGTAGCCTTCTAGTGAATCAATTTAGCTTCAGAATTATCCCGATCACACAGAAAGAAGGAAAAAAAAGCCAGCAAAAAGACACAAACCTTTACTCAGCAGTTTGGCACATTGATGAGGTCTTAAATATAGCTACTTTTTTTTCCCTAAGCTTTTGGATAAAGCAGTAACAATATCTGGAGAGAATCTTGTGACAAAATTTGGGTTTTTAAAGACTTTTAATGCACTTTCTTACTGAAAACCCCCCAATTACTCAGAACAGTATATGAAGGTATTTTTAAATGCATTTTTCATCTACCGATGCTGATGATAAAATAATATCTTCCTGCTGTAATTAGTGGCAATTACATGAAAGAAATCTCTCGAAAAACAGTGACCACAATGGCAAAACTCATAGGTCCTCTGTTTAAGGAGGATGTTTCCCATTTATGGTATTTCCAACTATGCAAAGTAATTTTTGACCTCAAGTAGAGAATGAAAGTTATGCACAGAGGGCTTGGTGGGTCTTCAGCAAATATTATAATCTTTTAACAAGCTCTCTTTTTAGAGCAGGCAATATTTAAGGGACCTATGAAGCTGAAGTCATAAATACATATATATGTAGTAGTATTTTAATTGGATGCTTAATTCTGAAATTGAATTGCCTGTTTTTATATGACATTGGGGTTATTCATCAGATAAGGTTGTATTATGCAGTAATTACTCAAAGTATCAGGCAGTTAGCTGTTCACTGTTTTGTTTCTTTTGTTTAACAGTCCTGTATGAAGGGTTTGGAAGAGACACAATCCACTGATATAAATGCACAAGCATATAAACAGACCACATATAACTATAGAGAAGACCACTCGTTTGTGACTCATGGAAGCCTACTTTTGAAGAGAGAGCTGGATATTTTAGCAGTTATGACAGGTGCATTCAGTTTTAGGGCAAGACACAAAACAAGTCCACCAAAATTAAAATCCAGAAATTCTCATTTATTTATTTTATTTTCTAATTGGGCTTAACAGCTGTACACTTACTTGTAACTTTATTTTTTTCACTTTTGTTCTGTTTTTTTTTTTTTTTTTTCAAAAATTAGCATACTCATCTTTTTCTTTCTCAAAGTGCTCAATTGGGATTTTATAAGTAAATGAAAAGAAAGGTCAACAGCAACAAAGTACTTGCTATAATTAATGAAGGGCTTCTTTAATTATGTTATTTGGTTTCTAAGTAATGTAAGATTTCACAGGGCATTGTAAGTACTTTGACAGTTTGTGCTAAATGTGTGTAATGCTAGGAAGACTATGGTATATGAAGCAACCATTTAATGCACTTTCATCTGCCCATAAACTGGACAGAAAATGTAAATCTATAACTGGTCTTAAACAATTATCAATATGAAAAGCAACTGCCTCGTGTTGTTCAGGCTATAGGGTGAGGTAGAGTAGCTATATACCAAAGTAAACGCTCAATTATGAACAGAAGAATAAATCATTTGCAAGCCATTTTCAACATTATTTATATTTGAAGTACTCTAGATGGACTTGATTTTTAAAGATACCTTTAGGACCACTCATTGTTTCATATTTTAATTACTTAGAGTTTGTTCATAATATAGGTACACAATTTCAGATAGGGATGAAAAAAATAAGAAAACTGGCTACTTTTCCTAAAAACACAAGCTTTGCGTTGTATGTTTCATGAAAATGTTTTTCCTGAATTATCTTGAAGCTAATTAAAATGATAAAATAATGTGTTCACAAATCATTTAGGGGTAAAGGGAGATTAAAGATGCTCTAATTTTACTGCAATTTAGCTAAGAAATATTTTCTGCTTCCTGGTGAAAACAGCTTCTGAAGGTGTCAAACCATGGTTTTTCTCTTTAAGTCATGCTGTAAAGACATATTTTTGAATATTCCATTGACACTTTGAAATTATAAGTCATTATGAATTATTTTATTATTCGGTGGAACAGCATTTAGCAAGATGAATGAACTCATGATTTTCTCATAGCAAAAATTATGTTACAGATTATGCTCTTTGGAAAGAATCCCTGTGAAGTTCTGTGTTCATTTATTTACTATTATTAGACACTTGTTTTTCTTGCTTTTAAATTAAAAACAAACAAACAAAACAAAACAAAACAAAAAAAAACCACAAGGAAAAAACCCTATCACATATCCTAGGCCTGATAGAGATGTCTAGGTTTTTTAGCTTAAAAGTTACTGTCTAATGCAAAGGATAAAATCTTTTTATAGTCTGAGATCTGGTGCCTAGTACCAAATGCAATACACGTGTGTTTATTTCCTAAACACTGAGGGTTTTAAGTATCATGGAAGTAATACTCTTGGCTATTGGTGGCAAAGGATGCTTAATTTCTACAGTGTTAGCTGTTAGCTTAGAATGTTCCAAGTCATCAAGATTGTGATTTGTCAATGCAAAATAAAATTGTATATAATCAAGTTGGTATACTAAACACATAATTTGCATTCTCAGGGGCTTTCTCATAGAAGCTTTTTCACTCTCTTTTCCCCAGTTAGGGCAGAGAATTGCTAGGCAGCTCTCTGAAACTGGTGGGTTAGTGTGTCTTGGAATAATTTTATTTCAGGAGAGTGTAGAAAATTCTCTTTCCTCTAACCAATGCTCCCTCTGCCTATCTGTTGTTGATTCTGCTGCTGCCAAACTGGCAAGTGTTCTGCTAAAAAACTTATGTGTCGTATTTATCTTTAAGACTGTTGTAATCTGAAAGCAGCTCAAGAAATTTGAGAAGTCTAAATAAGGCATCATAAAGCTGGATAGTTGAAGGGTTAGGTTGCTTATTAGCAAGCAAGTATCAAAGAGTAAAAATCTGATCAGTTAAAAAACCTCTTGAGATAGTAAAATGTGTTTTAATGTTGAGTATTTTTATTATCAGTTGTCTTGAAGGGTTGAAGAAAGTTTTACATTCTCAAGGACAGTATTTCCCATGAGAAAAGGTCTTAGATATGAATGATTTTTCTACTTAGCTTTCACCTGCTCTAGATGTATTCATGAGGTTGCTCGAATGCACGTGTATCTCTATAGATGCCCTTCAGATTCCTTTCCCATTTTTAAGAATTAAAGCACTTTTTTTTTTTACTAGAAAAGTGTTACTATTTGAACTTAGCTAGTTTTTCTGATCTTATTTTCTTTAGTATGTTGGTTACTTGTGCAAATGTGAATGTAGACAGAGTACTCTATATGAATTTCATTGTACTCACTATTTTCCTTTACAAGCTTTCAAACAAATACAGTCTGGACTATTAAAGGGTCCACGCTGAGAAAATCTGGTAACTTGAATTTTCTGAACAATATTGTGACACCGATGAGAACAGACTACAAGCTTTGTGCATTTAGAGTTCATAGGGTGTATTGGCAAGATCCTGTTTGAACTGTGGAGAGTTGAAGTGTGGAGAGCCCCATGTAACCGTCAAGGAAGCCTGATACTGAGGAATGCCAGAGATCACTGTGAAAAGGATGAAAAAAAAGGAGAGTAGATGAAAAAGCAAGACAACATGAAAAGACAAAAAGCAGATTGTTTTTAAGTTGTACAATGTAGGATGGCATATGGCATATGCAGATCAAGATGTCTCAAGAGACACTGAGCCCTATGAGCTGCTCTGAATGTGCCATACAGTAGGTAGTATGATCCCACCATCAGATATACCCACAAGTTCCTTCCAGCCTAACTTATTCTGTGGCATGGTTTTTAGGTTTTATGTAGCTATCCTGCAAAGATGATTTTTTAGGACTGAGGTAGAAACTTTTAAATTAATTTTACATCTTCCTCAGCTGAATGAAGGTGTTTAAAAACAGAAGCCTGAAATTGAGTATGACAGACTGGAAGGGGAAAATGGGAAAAGCTGATGTTCAAAGTTCTTAAAAATTAGACTTTTTTGACCCTCTGCTAAGGTTTCAGCCTTTTCTTGTTATCTGTCCTGGTGAAGATACGTTGAATATATTATGTTGCAGTAAAACATCATGTGAAACTACATTTCAGTTGTTAAGTACTTTCTTTAATGTAGCATGGAGATCACAGCAGAAATGCTTGAATCTGATGATTCAGGAAATAACTCAAAACAGTTCTGTTTGGCAGCTAGAAGAACAGAATGTGGGTGGCACAAGGATATTGTGCAATGACATCTGTTTCACTGACAGTAGCATTTTAGATAAATAGCTTATGGTATAGTTAAGACAGTTTTTCTACATTTATGGAGAACTACATTTGTAAAATGAGCTTTTTTTACCAACAAGGCATAGTTAATATTTTATTGCCAATTTTGTTGTCTTAAAAGACTCAAATAGCTTGTGTGTGATATTTTAAGATCCACATTGATCTCAAGTGTTGCCACGTTGCATTTGATGGCAGTGTTTGCATTCTAAAGGAACGGTTGTTAACAGTATTTTTAGGTACTTCTCTGCTTAGTGGCTGTATTAACTCTACATATGCACAGTCACTATAGTAATGTATGATCTGTGTCTGTTACAGGGAAAATATGAATTATCTGCATGCATATAGGAAAAACTGAAACTCCTGAACCATTCTTTTTCAGGGCTTCTTAATGTTGAATCCACAGTAACTGTAACTCTATCTATAGAATAAGTTTTCTTCTCTCACTACCAACAAAAGATTTTTTTCATAGTTTTCATAGTTCATAGTGTTTCATGTTCTTAGGGAGATCAGAGTCTTATTCTACAGACATTTCACAGTTGGTCTACTTGTGCAAGCGTGTGTGTGAATATAGAGCTATGATATCTGGATCTTGCAAGATAGCTACATTGTTTAAAATACACGTTTGGAATGTGAGCATCATCATTGTCATTGTCCATCTTTTGCTTTGATAGAAGTCTGGTTTTGTGTCACATTTTATCTGTTTTTATTATATAAAAAATTTTTAAGCTACTTCTGTGTTAACTTAATGTTACTCTAGTAGCAGTAACTGTTAGTTTGCCTTGGGTTTTTATGATTGCTGTTTCAGTTTAGGGCTATAAAGTGACATAACCAAAGGCTGGCACTTTATATATGCAACTGTTAGTATAGTGAAATGGATACTATTCTTTGTTTCTTTTAGCACCTCTCAGTAATTTGTTGACTACAAAACAATGATTATAGTTTTCACTGCTGAGTCTCTTGTTTTGTACATTTGAACCCTGGTAATGAACAAAAGTGACAGCAGGCAAATGTAGTGTAGATTAAATGCTCTTAAATCATGGGCATCCACTAGGATTCATTAGTCAGCCCTTATTAATTATGCTGGGAAAAAGAAAGCTAAAACTGTGCCACCTTTAATTAATAGCAAAGGGAAAACATACTCATCAATATATTAGAAAAATAAAGAGCATAGGTAATTAAAAAGAAGTCAGATGATATTTCTTAGAGACTGCACAAAACCAGCTGTGTTGGCAACTGTTCGCCATGCTGTATTTCAGAACTGCAGACGTGATTGAATTTGTTGTGCCAGAAGCTGTACAAGGAGAGGAATATGAAGTCCCAAAGTCTTGAGAGTTTATAAATGTTTTTCTGTGCTTTAGTCCAGATTGTCAACAGAATGTGGGAGCTACAGAAGACTGTAGGTGGAATTTCAATCCCCAGATCAATATACCAGACCTCAAAATATCTGCTGATTTGGGGTGCTTAATCTCTGAAGGAGCTTTACTTTAAAACAGAGAAAAACAGAGAAGATGTTCAGATGCCATTGTTTTGCTTCCAGGCTTGTTCAGAAATGCCAGACCTAGGTACAGCAGCATAATACATCTGCTTTTCCATCTGACCCATATTCCTCTACTTTTTCCCCCAGTAGTTCTCCAGATTTACCTCACAAATAAAAGTTTAACAAAATCCAGTGGCTTTTACAAGTTCTTCAGATTTTGGTGATGAGAGGGCTCCACTTCTGTGCCATTACATACAGATCTCCCACATTCATTGCTCATTTTCAGTGGAGCTGCACTCATTATATTTTGAGTGGTAAGGCACAGCTGACTCTCCTATTTTTCTTGTCTTGTTTTGAGTGGCCGTAGTGAGCCTTCCACAACATGTGTTTTAAAGTGTGTGTATGGGATGGGAGTGGTGGAAGCTGCCCTACAGCAGTGCTTGTTGCAGTGTTGAGGGTGCCACACTTAGAGTGATGCTCTGGGCACTGCTGACTTTGGGGTGACCTTGGCCTTTCTGAGTGGTGACACTCCCCAGGCAGCCAAACAGTGCACTACCAGGGCCACAGTACAAAAAGATTAGATTTGATGAAGTGCTTCTTCCCTGCTGATGATCTGGGGTTTTTTTGGTTTTATTAGCAGGAGTCAGTTTTCCACTGCCAACTGCAGAGGTGAGAAAAGAGATTCTTTTTTGTCCTTTCTCCTCTGATTTTTTTCCCCCAAGAATTAATGGATTTTGCTTTTGCAACTGTAGAATAAGATTATAGCCAATTCAATTTTTTTACTGCATAATGGATATTATGTTCAGGCTGAAGAAAGTCCTACAACAAAAGAGATGTATAAGTGGAAGTCAGGAAAGTTCTGAAAAATAAGGTATGTGCCCCTACTTGTCTTAAAAAGATCTGTGTGAAATAAATGAATATTAAGTGTTTTATACACAGGATATAGAACAGATGGGAAAATATATTAGAGATGAGTGTAGGTAAACAGCTGTAACATCTGTAACAAGACATATCTATCTAGCAACCTCTTTTGCTCTTTATGAAATAATTTCAATATAAATAATATTTCCTAGTTTCTCCCTAGACATTTACCATGTTTTACCTAACCTGCAAACTCTGACCAGAGTGGTGTTCCTAAGTCTGTAGAATAAAGAATGGAGTTTCCTTTGCCTTAACCTAGATTAGCCATATTCCATTTTATTTCAGCCAACTTTTATTTAAACATTGTTTTTTATTATTTATTATTTAACTTAATGGCTGGTTCCATAAATCTGTGTGGCAGTAAGTATGCTATTGGCACAAACTAGAGATTCAAATTATGTCAGGGTGCTGACAATTATTTTAGAACCTACAATGACAAGATAGAGCAAATACTGGGTAATTGTAATGAATTTATTATGCACAGATATGCATCGTAAGAGGAGGCATAAGAGGTTTATAAAAAGAAAGGTGGCTGGTTTTGTGATTAATTTTTTTTTATTCAAAACCCCTTATTAAGTACTTATCTGAAAATCACTATCTTCCTTTATCAGTACAAACCAAATATCTTAGTAATACTTAGCTGTGCATTAAAAAATTCTGGAAATTTGGCCTGTGAAATAAAACTCCTTCTTATAGAATGCTCTTGACACCGTACTGTTCTAAGACAAGCATAAATGTTTTAACTATTATTAATTTTCTTACCAAAGTATTGAGATGATAATCTGGTCTCCATTAGACTAGGTCCTTAGACAATTGTATGAAATCACAGTTCCTCCTCTCAGTAACTCATGGTGTAAAAAGATAAATACTATTCAGAGTACCTGATGAGAAGAACATGATTTATCATGTATATAGTTTTATTTACATTGATATATGCTTACTCTTCTCTACAGTTAGCATACCATCAGTCTTCTCCTTCTCACCCAAGCTGTGACTGAGTTGTTGATTATTTATTAAACATAAATGTTCTAGAAATAATTTAAAGAAATAGTTTATTTCTCCATGTGATCTAGCAATAGATCTTTGCAAGTGTTAGTCAGCATCTTTTTGTATAACAGGACCTAAGTCAAAGTAGTACTATTGTTGCTCTGTTTTGCTTTTGGAGAAAACAGGCAGATCAGATGGTATGGGTTTAGTTTGGTTTTATTGTAAATTTGTGTGTGTGAAATTCTTGCAATTGTATTGTTAAGTGCAGGTCAGTGACACAGGCAAACTGAAAATCCCAAGTTACAGCAGCCTTAGGGCATGCTCTTGGCAAACAAATTACATCTAACAGACAATATATTGTACTATGTTACCACATTTCATTATTTTGCAGGCAATACCTGTATCTTAGAGGAAATACAGTTGGTATTTGCTGTCATTGGTCGTTCACTGGTTTACATGTGTTCCTATCTGAAAAAAGGAAACGAAAAAAAATGCAGTATTGGAAAAACATCATTGCCTTGCTGGGTCTTGGGTCTTGGGAAAGCAATGTGAATTTTATGTGTCGATCATGTACTTGTTTCTTCAGCAGGTGGAGGGTTCAGAGCTCATGTTGCCTCCAAAGCATCTCTATCTAGCAGTATAACTACTGCTCTGCCTTAACCAACAATGGCTCACTTTGGGTGATTTTACTGTCCCTGCCAGATGCAATTTCATCAGGGCAGTTCAAAGAACAGCTACTGCTCAGTTACTGTGTTTTGCACTATTCCATTACTATTCCTATGTTCGCCGTATCGTGATTTACATGAATAGCTATAAATAGCTATGTTCTTGGATGACTTCCTTTGTGCAATGATATTAAAATAGCTATGAAGCCCTACACTTAAGGGATTAATAAATTGGCACAAAATTTTTTCTTGTTTGAGGAAGAATAAAGATAGCAGGGAATTTGTACTACAAACTACACTGACAAATTAATAAAAAATTTTCCTCAGGAATTAATCCTGCTTTATCACTTCTTAACTGCTTAATGCTGAGAGTCTAGTCTGAAGTCAGCAGTAATACCAGTGACATTTATTGCATAACCAACTAGTGTAAACTTTTCACCCTCTCACATTACTGTAAAACAGCTCTAGTGGATATAGAACACTAAGGAAAAGGCACGTCTGCTGTCACAGCCTGTGTTGGGTGACCTTCAAGGCTTCATTCAAGACCTGTCCAGTTATGTAGACTTACCCAAGGGAGAAAGTTGAAGTTTGCAGGGTTTGTAACACTAGAGGATGAGCACCTCTTTTGGGATCAATCAGATGTTAATTTTGGTGTTTTGTGTTTTTTTAATTTGTGCTGCAAACTTTCATCAAGTTACTAATTGAAGTCCTTTTGCTGCTGCCATGCACAATCACCAAGTTAGCTAAAATTTATGACAATCAAGTGTTTGAGTGGAAAAAAATCAGATTTTGGAACTCCAAGAATTACTTTGTTCCGAAGTAGTTAGAAATAATTCATATTATTACTTACAGGTCATCTGAAGTAATTTGAAAGCATCAGGCTCTCTGGCAACTACTCTTTTCTGTATATTTTTATTTAAATATTCCAATTTTTCTACTTTATTCTTAAATTCATTGTCTTTATTTACTACACTTTTAATTTAGAATGTTTCTGGTAGAAACATATTCTGTTTGAAGTCTTGATCTGGGCTGGATTTGTAGTGCTGCAGTGATATACATAATTATTAAATACTCCGCAAAGCTTGGATTAAGAAGTTATTATATTCTCTCTATATTGGAAACCATGAAAAACTGTTAAATTCTCCAGTTCTGAATGAGTTTTTTGGAAGCAGACACAACAATCCTAGTTTCTCTCTAGAAGTCACAGACAGAATACCTGAGTCTCCTCTCAAAACCAGTGGCAAAATTCCTTTAAAATTTAGTCAGAGACTGATCATGGGCTGCATTTTGGAGGAATATTGCCACTGGTTTTTGTGTTCAGTTTTTGAAGTAAAATCACTACTTGCTGCCACTCAGAATCTTCTCTACACATTATAATGAAGTAGTTTTGTAACCTCTTGATTGTCTCATTCTCAGTCTGTACTGGAACCATTAACCATCTGTGTGTGTGTGTGTGTGTGTGTGTGTGTGTGTGTGTGTGTGTGTGTGTAGGCCCACCTGTGCATACATGTGCATATATGCACACATAATTGTCAGTCTGAAAAGGTAAGTGAGAAACAGTACAGATCCATAGGATGGTAATTTTGCATGCTTCCTACACCATTTTACCTGTCTTCTGCTTCATGACCCATTTCCATAAGACCTACTCAATTATTTAAAGTTTCTGAGCAGCACATTTCTCATAGGTTTTTTCCAAATTAGGTATTCAGAGAAAAATGTCTGTTTTTCTCCTTAAATTTGGACACCTAACAAACAAAAAATCATTCCTGCCTGAGGCCAAGGACATGATGTACTAAGCTATTGACATATTTTATTGTACCTTAGTGTATCATATTAGTAATTCCCTATCCTGTGTCTCTACAGAGAAAGAAACAGGAGGTCTTTTCACTGTAGTGGGTTGATTTCTTGCTTTCCAGTAAGGTAATGAGGACTTGATTCTATCATGGGAATGGCCCAGAGTGCTATTCTTTACAACATGACATTTCATGCAGAAAAAAAGGCCATTTCTTATACAGATGAAAGGCCAACAGCTGCAATTACAGTTACTAAAATTTGTTACATAAGCAAGAAACTGTGTAGTAAGTTGGGACATGAATTTAAGATATTACTTTCTTCACTTAAATTTACCCAGAAAGCATAAGTCTTTTTAAGCAAAGGATTAGAAAAATTGCCAAAACCATTCCCTACTTAGTTTACAATATATTCATACATATATTTGTGAATATATTAGTAATTATTTGCAAATATCAATATTGAAAATCAGTATTTTAAAATATATTACTATTGGAATTACTTATTTTATTGTTTGGATAACTTCCTGAGTCCTTTTTTTGCTTGCAAGCAATGCCATAAGGGTATTTAGAATGTAATATAGTGTATATGTATTTAGCATTTAAAAAAAAAAAAAGGGCATGCAGGCCCTTCTTTTTAGAGCTGTGGGAAATAAATGTTGATTTATAATCTCATACATGGACATGTCTGAAAAAATACAGACTTTCATTTTAAAATAACAGCAATAGGCTCAGTAACAGGCATGGACTGAACTGCAGACTCATGTCTTAGCTTTGGATTTAAGGGTCGAGATGTCGTTCTCTCTTTCATTTAATCGTCTTAAAAAACCTGTGGCTTTCAAGCCTTCTAGAAGATTGTACAGTGTGCTGTAGGAAAGTTTTATTTCTGCTTGCTTGATTGGATTACTGTGGGCAAGAAAAAAAAGGTCAGCGTATTGACAGCAAACCGGTCTTGAGGCAAGGTAAGAACATGTGACATCTGAGAGAAACATGGTCGGGCTTGGTGGAAACAAACCAGATAGCATACATGAGGCTGTCATTTAGTGGTGTGCTGTTTTTGAAGCATCTTGGTAAGCATAATCTTTCTGCCAAAGTTTAAATGTTAGTAAATTTTCTTTTTAACATTCTTCCCATGATTAACATTATTGCCCCTCCTTAAAATTTTAGGAGTAATAGTAAGGAAAAAAACTGAAATGAAACTTGAACAAACCTGTAGGTGTAGATTTTTATAATTACACTGAATAAAAGGTAGTTTTGAAGTGGATGACAAGTTTTGCTGTTGATTTTGTTGAAAGTGAAATTAAACCCAAAAGTTAGGGTATTGAGAGTTATGATTGTGCTGCTTCTCAAATCTCTATGTGCAACTATATAATTCCAAACCTCTGAGCTGCTCTTGTTCTCTATTAAATCACCCTTAGTAAACAAAGAAAACAATTTCTTTTGGACTTGTAGCAAGCAAAACGGGCATTATCAGTTTCCTGTGCCCTTGGACTCAAAGTGCAAAAGGGCACTCAGTGTTTCACAGCCTGATCTGTCCTGTCTGTGGTTAATTTTTGGATTATTGATAAATATCAAAGCAATTATTGTATGCTGGGACTATAATAGTATTTTCACGGACACATCATCCCTAGAAACCACAACTGCCTTAGTTGTTTTTAGGGAGTCTGTCTCTTAAGGGAAACACTGGATATGGGTAAAGTCAGTTAATTACTTTCTGAAAGGTAGGAAAAGCTAATGCTCTACAATTTGTTAATTAGTGCACATGCAGGCACATTTTTGTGACTGATACAGTGGAGGAAAACTTTTCTCTGGTCTTCCTATGGAGAAATACTATACAAAAATAAAAAGACTAATTTTCAGATTTGATTGATCTGCATTCAGAATTGCCAACGAGAAGCTCAAGATGTAGACAGTTGCAGAATCCAGTTCTTGGCCCCATATTCGTTTGGCTTAGCTGTGCTGCCTAACCTATGAACATAGCCTCCACTTTTGTGGAGGTTACTTTTGTGATCACTACAGAGAAATGGGCATTTTTATAAAATAGATTCATTGAGTTTGGAAAAGATACTTAAGATCATCAAGTCTAGCTGTTAGCCTAGCACCTCCAGCTCCACCACTAAACCATGTCCTTAAGTGCCACATCTATGCAGCTTTAAAGTACCTCCAGGGATAGTGACTCAAAGCACTTCCCTGGGCACGCTGTTCCAATGTTTGACCACCCTTTCAGTGAAGAAATTTTTCTTGATATCATAGCTAAACCTTCCCTGGTGCAACTTGAGGCCATTTCCTCTTGTTCTATCCCTTGTTACCTGGGAAAAGAGACCGACACCGACCTGATAACAACTTGCTTTCAGATAGTTTTAGAGAGCAATAAGGTGCCTCCTTAGCCTCCTTTTCTCCAGGCTAAGCAACCCGGGCTCCCTCAGCCTTTCCTCATAGTTCTTGGGCTCCAGACTCTTTACCAGCTCTATTGCCCTTCTCTGGACATGCTCCAGCACCGCCATATCTGTCCTGTACTCAGTGAGGGGCCTAGAACTGAAAATGGAATCTGAGGTGTGGCCTCACAATGGATGATCACTGTCCTTGTCCTGCTGCCCACATTATTGCTGAGAAAGGCCAGGATGCCACTGGCCTTCCTGGCAACCTGGGCCAACTGCTGGCTCATGTTTAACCGGCTGTCAACCAATACTCCACCAATAATTCTTTCTTGTAAGGATTAATCCTCTCCTGACCTGAAACTGGGCAAAATTAATCAGGGCTATCATCTGAAGCAATAGGCTGATAAAATTTGAAAAACCATCTCCTGTGCTTTTATTGCTATACCCTGAATACTTACCGCAGTGTTGCCTTTTCTAACACCTGGAATTACGTCAGGTTGTGTGAGAGTGACAACCTGATGTCATTTTGCACGGGGTCACCTTTCAGATAGAGGTAATTAAAAGTTACTCTTTTTCTATGCCACCAAGCAAAATGAAATGTGTATTCAACAGTTAATCTAATCTGTGAATATTTC